AGAGAGAGAGAGAGAGAGAGAGAGAGAGAGAGAGAGAGAGAGAGAGAGAGAGAGAGAGAGAAAGAGAGAGAAAGAAAGATCACCGCGATAGTACGTGAGACAGAACACGTCGAGAATTACGATCTGCGCTGTCGCTGGCACGCCACCACGCTAGGTCGCATTGTCGAGTAGGTATTTTTTCCAGGACCATTTCTTTCTCGCCGAGACGCATCCACATGTATTTTCACGATTCTGTGTGAGTGTAATACAATAATGTAGAATCCGTGACAGTAAATCGGACCAGTGTTGACTGAGTCCGCGTTCAATCGATGAAATTCGCGACAATAATTTTCGCGCAACATCGGCACGGATTCTCTTTTCGGATTACCCAGATCGGAATTTCGAATCAGCTACAAGTCTCAAAAGCAATAATGTCATCTTTCAATACTACTTGTACTACCTGACACAATAAATGTAAGTCTACTAGACAAATAACAGTTTTTGTTTCGCTTTGTCTATTTTTAACGCGTTTATCTCTTCCGACATTTTTCTTAGACGTTTATGATTTTTTTTTCACTCTTTCAGCAAGTTCTCCTTTAACTCTTCACATATGAAGAAAACGATAATAAGAGTCACGATTTGTAGCATCGAAGATCTCGAGATTCTTCAGTATTCTACATAATCGACGATATTATGGGCGGGCTTAACGTAGAATTTAAATTTCTACTCGAATATATTCCCTCCACAATGAAACGTAAGAAGCCTCCACGCGATGCTTTTGTAGTCGCTATCACCCTAGACTAACATCTCAAAATCAAAATCGTAAAAAGGGAAGAGAGAAAGGAAAACATTTTACAGAAAAAATCATCTCCGTGCGAGATAATACCTCATGAAATGACTATCGTAATTATCAACAGACAGTTCCCGAGATCCAATTAATTGTCGGATGGTACGGCGGTTATTGCTGCGGTGGAAATTATTCACAGCGAATGTCGTGTTGTTCCTTAACGCCTTGGAACTTGCCGTGCTTTTCGCACGTGGAACTTTCGTATTCAATTTATGCCGTGAAAATTCACGAGCGCGCTCCGTAGGAGTGGCTTCACCAGCTACCCCTTTTGTCATCGGAAATCGAATTATTTTCCTCGATCTCTCGCCTTTGCTGATTTATTCTTATAAAAAGGAAGTCTATAGGAAGTTATTTATTAATTGAACGCTATTACGGTAATACGATTCGGTCATTATAATGGCGAACGGTCCGGGACGTCCTTCGGCGGCGAAACGCCGGATGAGAATCGCTGGCGCAAATGATACAGGACGTACCCCCGGGATACATCCCGGTAATTCCAAATTATCGCGGTGGTAAATATAGCGAGGAACAAGGGGTGGGTAACACGCATCCAATCTCCCCACTTAATCGTCCCGAAGAAACACACAACCATGCCAGGTTACTCCACCGGAAATCCATTTCGTGCGGACATCGTGCCTCGCGCGGGGGTGTGCGCGGACGGACGGCGGGATAACGACTAGCCGGCCTAATGTCCTCACGGTATAAAAGTCGAAGTAGCTTTTCGTCATCGGGCTCGTTACACACGAAGAGGCTCGGAAATCCTGCGAAGCCTCACGGATCCCGGGGCTTGTCGGGGCCACCCTCGGAACGAGGGGACCATAACAACCCCTGTCCATGTAACATTTCGCGTTCTCACGTAATCGCTCTTAAAGTCACGGTGCGACGAATCGAACCGTCGACGCGAACCTCTCGATCAGCGACTCTCGAGAGGAAGTAGACACTGCGGCGTTGAGATCTCACACCTCTAAAAAGAAGAGAGTAACGGGGGCAAAGGAAAATAAGAGCGAACGATGCGAGAGAGATGTGGGAGAACGCGGCCGTAACACCGAGATGGCGGAAGAAACCGCGCGAAGTGAAGGCGAATTTATTACGGTGGGCTCCCGTTTACGTCGCGGGCGAAGGGCTCCCAGCAGTATTTCGTGTATCGAGGCGTTGTCATTTTTATTTTCGTCCCGCCGCGAGCGGAGCGCAATGAGAATCGATTTACCGGGTACTGGTTCGCTCTTTCTCTCTCTCTCTCTCTCTCTCTCTCTCTTAGTCCGCGGCGAGGAGTTCACGACGTCGTCTTCTGCCGACGTCGTTATTTCCAGCGTTATTTCGAGGCCGCGCGGTCGCCACCGTTTTCCTATTATTCTTCATTTAATCGCGCGCGCCACCGCTGGGAGATACGGATTTTTCGCGCGTCGATTTTGCGGGCGCCCTGCGAACGAGGTTTCGCGGTGATTGATATTGCGGGGATGTGTGTTATCGCGATCGAGACTCCGCGATTTCCGATCCGTTCGCGCGCAACGGCCACGGCGATAACGGCGACGGCGGCGGCGGTGGAGGCGGTGAATCGAAGATTTCAATTTCGAGACGTTGATAGAACGAATCGCGCGTTGGTTATATATAAAAGTAATACGAAGACTACTGCTCTCGGGAACAGCACTCGCGCAAATTAAGATTTTGATTGGAATCCAAGTTATACAAGCGGAATAAAATAAAATAATAATAGCTTCCAAGTAAATTAACTATACTCTGAAATAACAACGATTCTTTTTGTGGGAACAATCGCAATGGCACTGTATTCTTCAAAAACACGGACTCTAATCGAGATAGAGAGAGAGAGAGAGAGAGAGAGAGAGAGAGAGAGAGAGAGAGAGATATGTGCGTTATAGGAAGCGAAATGATAATATTCACCCTCGCTCTCTCCCCCTCTCTCTCTCTCTCTCTCTCTCTCTCTCGCTGAATAAAGGGGCGATAAAGCTGAGGCGTGCGCGTGAGCAACGCTTCCGTCGTTCATGTAAGATTAACGATAATTCGTTCACCCCGTCGTTACGAAAATATTTGTGTTTAAATGAAGTGGCTTATACAATTAGGGTAACCAGGTTAGCCTGCGCAGCAAAGCGGAGTATATTTGTGCAACCAGGGGAATTCCGCGCGTCTCGAAACAGTGGCGGGTATGGAAACGGCGTTTTCAGTAGAGCAGATGCGATTAAGCGCATCAAAAGAACGCGGCATCTCGCCTCCCCGTTCAAGCACGGCACGTTTTTGCCCGTCGCAAGAAAGCAAAGGGGGATGGGGGCGGAAGGTGGGTTCGCGGGAGATGGAAGGATTCTGCCGTTACTCACGTTTTTCTTTAGTCCTTTCAGCTGCTTCGAAGATTTCCACCAGGTTAAAACGGCGGGTGGCTTCGAGCCGGTGCTTTGACATTTCACATCGTACGTCTTCCCCGCCGACAGGATTTGATCCTTGCCCAGGATTTCCACCTTAAGTGGCTTCACTGTAGAAAACAAGAAGAAACAAATACGGTCAATTGTCATCGGATATCGATCGGTGATCGATCTAGAATAATTCACCGTTCGCGGTAACGAAGTTGTTTAGATGCGCGTAGAGGCCGAGTTAACGCCTCGCGTTTCTGACTTTCTCTATCGCGCTCAGACCTCCACTTTCCTGTCTTCCTTCTGCTTCTTCCTCGTAATATGACGACAACGGTTTTTTTTTCTTTTTTTGTAACGTGGCGGCGCATAACGAAGGACGCCGCTCGGTGAAAGCGACGGACGCGCAAAAAGGTGGAACGCAGGGAACGCGCGAAAGAAACGCCGAGGATAATTAGAATTCAGTCCGTTCGCGAATTTCATACCGAGCTCCTTCTGTGTCCGGCATTCTCTGCGAAAGTCCCCGGCCAACGGGTAGGAAAGAAAACGCAGATCGATGGCGAGGACGGCGAAAGAAAGAGAAGCGCGGACGGATTGAGAAAAAATAGAACAGGACGCGCTGACTGGCTAGGAAGAAGGAAAGAAGGACGAGCGAGAGAGGAGGAATCGGGGGAGTGAGAGAATGGACCGTATAATTGGAGCTCGCCGTGAAAGCGACCGAAAACAAAGGCAGGGCTGGGAAGATTGCCGGGCGCGAAACTCCCGGTGAAGTTGAGATTTCATTTGCAAATCAAAATTCATGCCGTCAGGTGCGCGCGGACGGAGCAACGTGAAGAATTCGACGAGGCTTTTAGCCTCCACCTAGACCCTCCCTCTCCTCCGCCTCAACCCCTTCGGCTCCCAGATAGACGAACGAAGACGGTCCTTTCGTCTTTTCGTTTTACTTCCTCCTACTTTACGCTGCTTTCGATCTAGAGGTTAACTATGTTAACTCCCGTAACGCCCCAAGAAGCGCACTCTCTCTCTCTCTCTCTCTCTCTCTCTCTCTCTCTCTCTCTCTCTATATAGAAAAAGTATTCAGGTGAACGACGAAGACGCAGTGTGTAATATTCAGTGGCGCACATTGGTAGATCGCATTATATCCGCGAATATGATTCTTCGCTCGCGTATTCTCTGTCAGATGTTAACTGAAGCCCCGGTAGATCTCGCCCGACAAGGATCGATATCACGCCTATCTCCTCGTTATCTTGCATATCTGCCGTCTAAATCCCGATGGCGGTTCGCACTACAAATCGCGCGCGAAATGTGCTTTATTGTCGCCGCGGGGGAGGCACGAGCGAAGGATCGTGGAATTGAGCTTTACGTGCCGTTCGTTGATCCGCCCATGGCTGGGCTCATCGACTCGTTCGTTTGTGTTTTCCCGTCTGCACCACCGCCGCCGTGAATTCTCACGAGGGTGCGTTTGCAGGAGGAGAACTTACGTTTCCGATCGAACACCCCCACGGAAATGGAAGCGCAAACCCGAGGACTTTCGTCGCCTCTCTCCTTCGGGGAGGCGCTTTAACGAGCCGCTATTATTATTCGCGCGCATGGAACGGCTTTAATCGAATTACGAAGCGGTTCGATAAGGCGCGCGCCTCGCTCTCCAGACGCGAGACGTTCGTAGCGCGTTTATCGTGCGACTTTTCAAGAGGAGAGACCTCGAGCAGCCGTGTGCCATTTTATCCGTGAGACGTGAGAGTAACGCCTAACTGCGGTGCTTAAGACCTTAAGAGGCTCCTCAAGGATCTATGGAGATATTTCGAGATCTAAAGTAGAAATTAGAGAGAAGAAGGGAGACGCATTTCTGATAAGAGATATTCGACGCTCGCGCGAAATAACAAAAAGAGAATTGCGGCTCGGAAGACATTCTCCATCTGCCCACGATCGTCTCAGTGATCGATCGTAACGCAGCACTTGTCGCTCAAAAGAATGATCTCGCATAGCGAAAATTATCTGAACATGAGATATTAGTTAAAATGAATGAAGATGACTAGCAAACACTGCGACATCACGTATGTTTTTACATTTAATCAATATAGATGACAGAGAGGACATTTTTCTATCCGAACAGGACTAGCAAGATATTTTGCTGAATGGTGGATTAACGATGAGCGAATCGTAGACATTTCTCATGCATGCAACTTTGTCTTTTAAAGCAGCTTTTATATCTTTTTTTTTTCGAATTCTGATGAAGGTGATTATCAACTTGAAAATTATTCCAAAGTTCACCTGTGTGTCCCAAACTTTACACTCGGTCTAAGAGAGAAGTTAGCCAAACTCCTTTAAGACAGTTCAATCTTGTTCAAGCTTTCTCAGTGACTGAAGATCATTGAAGGAAATCGATTTATCTGTTGAAAATGAACTTTCAACCCGATTTCGACTAAGAAAGGATCGAGAGGGATGAGACAATTTTCTGAGGGGAGAGGAGAGGGGGAGGAGGAAGAGGGATCAGGATTTCGCACCGAAAATTAGATCGCCGACGAAAGTTTCAGTTCACGGAAGGTACAGGACTATATCGCTGCTCGCGTGGAATCCACCGGGTGCAAGAGAAAATAATTGCGAAATTATATTGGTGTTTATAGAAACGACGTCGGTTCTCATGTGGCAAGCTGGAATCGAGCAGCGTAAAGAGGTGAAGAAGAGAAAGTCGGATGGCGAGAGCGGTGTTCTCACGAGGGGGTGGGTCGGTCGTTAAGTGGCTCGTTCGTAGGTTAAAGTCGGTTGTTTCGGAAACGACTGAACATTAGGGGACTCGCGCGTCTAGGTTCGTATGCGCCGATCCCGCGAATCGTCGGCTTAAGTGAAATTTCGCCGAGACCCGCTATGCGCGATTCTAAGTGATATTATTGCCATAATTTGGCAAAGCCACCGTGAGCCCGTATCGTTACGGCCCCATCGGCGGGGGCGGAGGGGGAGGGGTTGGGGCACGAGCGGGAGGAATGGCGGGAGCGCGCTGCTCCGGCGGTCTCGCCTCGTTCCGGTCTCGCGCAAAAGCCTGTAAACGAGGCGACGATGTATACGTTCCCAGCAGCCTCGGAAAATACAAGGAAATATACGGGGACGCGCGCACGTTCGCGCGACGGAATAACACTTGCCAGGAGTTCCCCCCCCCCCTTTCCCCGCGGGTAAACTAATTAATTCCAAGCGAGCGAAGAATTCAGCCCCGGCGAAAACAAATCACCGTCGAAGTGTTAATCCTCTTATACACGCCCGCGAGCATCCCACGAACTTATGCGTCTGTATATCATATTAAAGATGCCCGAGAAGATATTCGCAGGGAGCGCCGTAATTCCGTGGAATCGTCACTCGCGGATTTCTTCCGCTCGAGATCTCGTAGTTTTCAGTTTGTCCAGAAAATTCACGCGCGACGAGAGAAGGTGGTTGGTAGCCTCGCGTGTGGAAGGAGGTTCGCGAAAAGATTTGGCGCGCGCGCTGCATTAAGGGAGCTATTCGCGTCGTGATTCGCGTCGGACGGGAAGGGAGAATTATTAGCTTCCCGCGGCTTGAGTTATCAGGCACAAGGAGTTACATTCCTGAAGTTCACTCGTCTCCGGAGTGGGCTAAACCCTTCTTCCATCGTCCTGAAACGAGAGGAGAGGCAAGGAGGGAGTAAGAGAGAGAGAGAGATAGAGAAAGAGAGCACTTTCGAGGGTCGTTATGCCGTTTGCGACTCCGCGAATTCGCAAACGCCCTCGTTCCGTCGCTGAAATCTGCTCGCCCGGCTTCGTTACGGAACTACTTTATATCGCTAGTTCACCGTCATCCGCTCGACGAATTGATAGCGGCCATAAAATGAACGGCCTCGATCTGGCTTGATCGGGAACAACCTCATACATAGTTCCTGTTACGACGTAATGTTTATCCATTTTTGTCATTGTAGTTTTATTTTTTTCCAATTTTTCTCGCATTAAAATTCGTTCTTGTGCTATTGTGCCATAATTCGGCATTCTTGAGGAACTAGTAATATTAAAACACACTGAGCACTCATCTCATGTACAGGAAATAATTGATAGGAAATTAAGCCAAAAAGATATATCCTCTGATAAATTATTCAAGAGGCAAAATGATTTCACACTTTTCAGAACTTTTTGAAGATTTATGAAGGCGGTTTATTTATTAAAAAAGTCTCTCGAATTTTTCAATTGTTTATCAAAAGTATGTTTTTAAAGTTGGTTAAAAACACTTTTTTCAAGTCAGTCAAAAATAAAAAATTTCGTATTGTATTTTCAGATATTTGATTCATTCGCATTTTCTCCTGAGTTATTACTAAATCTGCAATTAATATATAACAGCGCGTCGGGCTTCAAAATTTCACGAAAGATCGAGTCATCTCTTAATTTATCGAGGAACGTGATCGCAAAGTTTCGCATGTATCCGGCACATTGTTCTCTCGGTTTTCCACACAGATCTTTTCACAGCGTCACAGGAGTTTTACGGTTTATAATTATCACGCGAGCGTTGTCGCCACCTAGAAAAGAGAAAAAGCGACATGACGCGATCGGTAAGATCGCTCTAATGAGGAACTTCTTTTGATGTCTGATACTCGTTAGGTCGTTACTACTGACGGGCACGTAATCGCCTGACTATCGAGGACGCATCTACAACTTTCGTTAATGCTCGTAACTATAAAAGACTAATGAGTCTCGCGCACGCCCGCGCAAAGTTTGCGCGCGCGGAGGCGGCTTCATTAATTTTCTTACTAATTAACGAGGGGACGCCAATCGGGAGAAGCGCGAGGAGGAGATTTTTGCCGAATGGAATTTCTGTGTCGGAACGCGACGGTACGCGCCGTTGGAGAAAGCCGGGGCTCTCTTTGGCTTGTTACCTAACTTGATTATTCTTGCCGGTGCGCGCACCCCCGCTACGGAATCAAACGCTTCCGTGGAATGAGTCGTTAAAAGTTGAATAAGTTCGCGAGACGAACCCTTCTTTGTTCTCCGGTCGCGCCGAATTGCAACTTCGTCGGCAGAAAGCCGACAGCCGATTTCAAACGGTCGCGACAAACGAAACACGTCGGTAGACAAGAGCCGCCGGTAATAGTCGTCCGTTATTCCATTGCGACGTTTATTCGTTTTTTTCGCAC